TATCTTGGTAGATGTAATGCTATCTTTTATTTTCCATGGTTAGTCTTTTAAAATATTTGGACTAGGCTTTTCTAAATAAATTGTATGTAAAGACTTAGTAGTTTTTTAAAAAAAAGACTGCATTTAGTTACCCGACTATGACGTTTCTCTCTTTCTCCGGTCTTCAGCCAAAATGTTTCTGTTTGATGGAAAAAGATTGTGGTCCTCTGCTGTTTCAATTAGATGTTCCTTTGTGTGTGGCCATTGAGAGGTAAATAAGGCATTCCTATATGTAAATAACACAATTCAAATATAATAAACTGATTCGAATAGTATTGCATCTGCAGGGTCGTACAAGATTAAACACATGCATGGTGGTTGAGGCAAAATTAGTTTATGAACCAATTTCAGACATTTAAACACTCACTCTACCAAGGCACAAAAAATGCAAATCACAAATATTGTAAATATGAAAAGTCTGTATTTTGCTTAACACTCTTTTGCTCATTATAGACCTGCGTGGGCTCTGCGCAGGTCTACTCTAACTTGACGTCAAAGATCAGCCACTAAATGGGATGCACATGGACATTGAAAGTGAAAGTTATTGTAAAAACCCCATCGCCAGACTGGTTTGGTTTGTCCTATTTGGGCTAGACCTCAGTTGGTCACCATGTCTGTTGTCAAATGTTTGATCTTGTTTGAAATTCTGCTGTTGAGCAAGCAACAGCTCCAAGCTGTTGCAATGACTTCTAAATACTGGTTAGGGTGAAAAGAAAAGCCATCATTTCCAGTCAGCCAGAATAGTCACTAATTCTAACTCCCGTGGCTTGCAGCCCGTTGTTGTTAACATGACACCACCGGAGGTGTGTTAGTAAAAATGTTAATTTAGGTTCTATACATTTCTTTGTAAATTTTTCTGTATAATTACAACATAAAAAACTTGCATACAGAGCTGCAGCAAAATATAATCACATTTATTCTTTTGGTTATTTACTCACTTGTGAACAGTTAGAATAATGCAGCATTGGCAAAAACATTTGAATACATGCAGGTTTACCCAAAACTTGCATGTTTTAGGTAAACATGCCAAGCTTACCCAAACAAACCATTTAAATGAGGTCTGGTAAAATTTCTAAGGGCTGTCCCAATAGAGACTTTTTTTTTTTATCTCCAATACCAGAACAACTTAAGAAAAGGCATTTGCTAAAGCAGAATCTCGCTCCATTAGATCATTAAAATTATGGCATATATGTTTGGAAGCACTTTAAATTCACACATGAAATTTATTCTGCATCAGCTCCTTGTCAATTCAGATGCTGCAATAATCTTTTTTTTCTTGACATCGTTAGATATGTTGCCCCACCAGGAGTTTCTGCAGGACTATCGTACTTTATCAAACATATATTTGACTTGACATTTCTATAGTTTTTAATAAACTCAAATCTTGCTTCTGCTGCTGATGTTTGTATCTTGTCAACCTAAAGCAAAAGCTTTAGGTCACATTAAAGGGGTTCTCTCTGCTTTGAAATGACTCACTCACAGTTAAGCTCCTGGCACATTTAAGTGCTATTTCAGCAAATTGTATATGGATACTATTCTTAAGTAATGTTGTTGTATTTTTGTTGTTGTTTTTTTCATTTCTCACACACTGATTTGCTTTGAACATCATAGAATGTATTTATATATAGATGTCTGAACACAGCTTGGAGAGCAGATCTCATGACAAAATCTGTAATAATCCAGAAGTGATTGAAGGAGAAAGAGGAGCCTTACTACTGGGAACTTGATTAGATGATAAGTGGTTAACGTTTCTTGCCAACCGCCAATAAATTTCAAGAAAAAGAAGAAGAAGATGACAAGTGGCAGGTGGCTGATTGAGAAATGATGCAGCTGACAGAGGAGACCAGACAGGCAGGCTGAGGGAAGGCGACTAACAAACAAGATAGGGGCTGGGGAGGAAATAAATAATATTAACCAAGGCAAAACAGTGATCAAAGTAAAAGCAAGAATAACTAAGCTAAATACAGCAGAGCCAAGTAATCAATAAGATTTAGATTGAACATAAATTAAACAAATAGTCAGAATACAAAACCAAAGAAAACTCAAACCAAACATCCAAGATCATGACATGCACACTAAAATGTTCTGACTTTGAAAATAATGGTAGGACGATCTGCGACAACACTGTAAGATAAAGACAACTATTCATAATATAACATTCATTTTCAATCAGTTTATTTAGCAAATTAAACCATTTTAAGCAGCTGCATTTTAAGAAACAACTAGCCTTTGTGGTTGTGCTGACACATTCCTTGTTGCTCTTTAAGCGGAACAAAGTGGTGACCTCACATAAAGTGTCTGCAGCCCTGCTTTTTCAGTTCAGCTGATGTTTGGTTGTGTCAGTCCATGCATGCAGCTTGTCCTCAGACATTACGACAGGAATGACTTCAAAAGACTTTTCAGTTGCAAGTAATTGTATTACACCCCTCTGTGTTAAGTGATTCTGTTTTTAAACTTTAAAAACAGTCAGTCCAGATCTTGCAGTCTAGTAATTGCTTTGCTCTTTGGGTTTACTTCACAGACAGCCACATGTCACTTTTATGAGATCTTCCTTCCTTACAGTAGCTCAGTAGGTTTCGTTCTTCTCAGAACAGCTAACATCTATGCTTAACCTTTTGTAGCATTCTGCAGGAGAGGCATAAGTTTAGCTTAGCGCAAACTCAACACCCTATCACTGGGTTGAGTTTCCATGTTTGATGTACCCTTCGTCACTGGATTTGTTTAACACTTTCAGCATTTTGAAACAACTGCAACACAAAGTGTAAGGTTCTGTTGAGCTCATAAATGATCAATATTATAAGTGACTCACTGCTATTTTTCAAACTATTTGCACCTAAATCACACACTGGGGAATATGGGTCTCAAATTAATCAGGGAAACATTGCATTAGCGTGTCAGTGTTTTAGTGCAGTGACATTAGCTTAAGGACTCGCCATTCACAAGCAAATTACTTGCAAGCTTATTATGTGGTTATATATTTGTGCTGCACAGTCCTGTTTCCATGTGGCTTTGTCACAGCGTACGCCACCCAAACCCCAAGTATGGATTATTCCACATTGGCTGAATAAGTGGCCAACCTTACAGTGGCTAAAAATCTGTTCCAGTCATCACAAATGTGTGGTATTACAGTAAACACAGAGCTGTCTGCTCCTAAAAGTGAATATTTTTCACTTTCATGGCTTTAGTACAGTTTGGGTTGCAAAATAGATGACCATTAAAAAAAAAAAAATGAAATAATTTGCACACCTTTACATGTGTTTAGAGCAATGTCCATATGATATGCTAAAGTTGTTGGCACTGTCTTGCTAAAATGAGCAAAAATTTCCTTCAAAAACTACCATTCAGTTAGCAAAATATGCTTCTTCAAAGATGATCATTCAGTGTAAATGGCTTTTTGCCCTAAGTAGACATGGACTTTTCTTTTAGAGTAGATTTTGATTTCTCCTTTGTTCAATACAGCAAAAAATGTTGCCTAGAAATTATAAAGTTCCTGATGCAATGCCACATGATAAAGAAATTTTGAGTTCATTTCAGACTGGCACAGATGATCTCATGTCAATTCTTTTGTTTCTTTAAATATAATCTCAGTGTGTGCAGATCAATTTTCATTATTGGATTTATGCCAGTCTAGTTTCATTCATAAAATAGAGTTTAGATCTTGAGAGTCTCATATTTTTAAAGTAACTTAACGCTGGATATGCAATTTTATCCCAATTATAAAACCCCACAGCTACTTGCATATTGACACATAAAAACTTTATTTTTCACTGCTCCTTTTATAAATGTGTTTCAAAGTCATCTATACAAATCTTGTGCTCAGTTGTTTGCCTGACATTGTATTTTTTTTTCATTTAAGTGATTTTCAGTGTTTTTACTCAATTCAAACATAAATGTTTTGTTGTTAACTAAATAATGTATGAAGTATTAGAATTCTTCAGACAAATTACCTGTCCAAACATTGGTGACATCTGTACCTTGTCCATGCGCATTTCCAGTTATTTCTGCTGTAAAATAAATTCACTAAACAAATAACTAAACAATCCTCATGGTTCAAATAACAAAATAAATCTCTGTAACAACAGGTTATTACCCCAAAGCCTCTTTTATTTTTATTTATGTAGGCACTGAAATCTTTTCTTACTAAGACATTAAACAATTATGAATTCTTTTTTGTGTGTGTATGTTATTTTGGGCACACAGTTAAATATGTGCAAACCCACATTTACCAATTAAAAGATTGGAATACTTTTCAAATTAAAATTGTAACATTTGTCCTGTGGAATGTTTGGAATTATTTTTAAGCAGAAATAAGGGGTAACACATAACTAACAATTAAAACCGATCCTTTTCTCATCCTATGTGCTTTGAAGTGACTATGCTTTTTCCAGTTCATCGTTCAGCTTTTTCTTCATTCGTCATCTCTCTGTCTCCTCAAAGCTCATTAGTATGTTTTGGTTATGGAATTACAATAAAGACACTAGTGCATGCTTTGGAAGAAACAATAAAACTATATTGTTCATATGACTGTATTCCACTTGTGGTTATTTCATTCTTCTAACATGAACAGTGAAACAATATTATGAAAGTTTCCATCAATTTTGGATAACTCACCTCACATGCTGTTACGCCAGCATTAGTTTTGGCATGCACACTTTATTTGTTGGCATGTTACTGACTTGAAAATTAAGTTAACTTATTGAGATGTAAAAATGACTAGTATAGATCATTTAAAGAATCTCACTAAGAAATATTTAGGATTTTCTTTCTCTATTTCTGTCAACAATACAACTTTTTTTTTTTAAAGAAAAGGTCCTAAAACACTCCACAGGTGTGCCTTTATTTAACCCAAAGCTTATGAACTTACCTATCTGAAGCTTAAAAAGCCACTACTTTGGAGTGACATTAAGTCACTCCAAAGTCATTTAAAAAAACTATTTTGTATTATTTTTGAAACAGAGCTATTTCATCTGATTTAATGTCAGACAGCAAGGAAGAAAAAGATTGTGTCCCTTACATGGCATTTGAAAAAATCTGGCTTTAACTGTATCCATCCTTTTCCATTAGGTTCAAGCATGTTATGGCAGATGTGAAATCCGTCAGAGCAGTTTTGTAAAAGGCATTAAAATTCCACATGCAATAAAACTGTTATTTATAGGGCCATAACAGGCTTGTAGCTTTACTAACACAAACACCAAAGGAGAAACCAAGACACTGAACTCTCCCATACACACTAATTGAAGGGTCTTGTCCTTCTGTAAGCTTGCATTAATGCACAATTAAAGTAAGTTAGCAAATCTAATTTAAATTCAACCACATGACAGCTAAAAATCACTAACTGTAAGTTAGCACATAAGAGTATTTATTTTAGTTAAGACAGATCAAGAATGATGAATAACAGGCAAAAGCATCAGTACTCGCCGGCAAGCTGTGTGATGTCATTGGGAAAATCGTGTAATTACAAAGCACAAACCTGTGACATAGAAGCTGTGGTATTAAGGAAGAATGTGTCACACACTTGTTAAGATTTTAAATAAACTAATTAGTAATCAAGAAAAAATGTTTGGCTGAAAAAAAAAATATGAACAGAAGCTGAAGCTGATGAAAATAGAGGTCAAAAATGAATTTGCTAGATATGAAGTGGCTCCACCAACAGAGTGAGCATTTTCACTACCGGTACTTTACCTTCACGTTAGTGAAGACGAGGAAGCTTCATTTTGTTCTGGAGCTCGTTAGTGAAGATTCTCCTTCTTCTGCCATTTGGCATTTGTCCCTTCACTGTAAGAAAAAAGAATAAAGACTTGAGACCATTTTTGGACAAAATGTGAACCTAATATACTTGCTGCATAGCAAGTACGTTTCAAAGAGAATTATGCGGACCAAATTTAACTTGTACTTGCTGCAAATATGAACAAAAGCATCAATTTGTCATTCAGATGTATGAGAATCTAGTAACGTCAAACCAATACTTCAATCAAGATGGCACCAGGGTACCTGGCACGCCATCTGACTCGCTTTCTTTACTTTCTTATTTTTGCTTTATTTGTGTATTTATGCTGTTACAGTGCCTCAACAGTTTATGTTCATTAAGCACTTTTGGACATTAAAACGTCAATGGATCTACATTTTGGATATGGTTTGGGAAAAAGGAATTGAGGCTTCCACTTTTTCTCTCATGTCCCTACTGAACTGTTGGGTTAGCCACATGCCATTCCGGAGAGCCGATTACCTCAAAGACGTGGTAAATGTGAAGGCTCAAAGCTTACCTGGCATTTCTTCACCATCCGGTAGGCGGCTTTCCTAGGCTTGTGAGGTATTGTTGTTTCCTAGTTGCTGGATTCGCCTTGCTCTTCCGGGGATGTACTCTTCTCTCACAAACACCCAGGGATCCGAAGTGCTTTGTTTAAATTCAAGATCCGTCATGAATTTTGTGAACTCTTTGTTCCAACAATGAGGAGACAGACTGTTTTAGTCCATTGATTTATTTTTTAGCTTGAACACAAGATGCTACTGACCTGGTTTGATATGTCCCTCAGGTTGTTCCATGTATATTTCTTTTGTCCAGGTGTCCATTTAAGAATGCAGTGTTGTCGGTTATTCTGGATGGCAAAGTACAGTATACGTATTGAGCTAAAACTTGCCACAGGTGAAAATGTTTCAACTGCATGAGCACCATAAAGTTGTGAGTAACCTTTGGCAACAAGTCTGCACTTGTATCTCTCTCCTTCTCAATCACTTTGATGCTTGACTTTGAACCCAATGACCCGATGACCTCTTTGCCCTTTGGTAGTTTCACTAGAACCCAGGTTTAATTTTCTAGCAGTCACTAGAAACTGATGCTTCTTCCCATTCTTTTACACTTGGACTCTTTAATACTTCTTTCAGTGTGATTGGTTCTGTTACAGAACCAACATTAGAACAATGATCAACAGTCACCATTTCTGTGAACTCGTCATATCCATATCTCTTTGGAGCTCTTCTAATTCCTCTTCCTCTTTTAAGAGTTTCATAGACAATGATGTCATCATCACTTGTTTCCTTTTCTTCTGAGATGGTAGTCACCTCTTTCTCTGGACAGGAAATGTCCACCTCATGTTTCCAGTCAAAGTCTGATTCATTAAAGACTACATTTTTGGAATCAGAATTCTTCTCTTTTCTTCATCGATCAGACAATAACCTTTAGCATTGTCTGTATATTCTCAAACCTGAACTTCACAGCTTTCTTGTCTAGTTTTCGTTTTTCAGCGTCTGGGACATGTGCTTAAGCAACACAACCAAACACTAACCTGACTCACGTCGGGTTTTTTGCCAGCCCATTGTTGGTAGGGTGTCTCTTGCTTCAGAACAGATGTTGGCAATCTGTTTTGTATGTAGGCTGCTGTTGCTAGTGCTTCACCCCAGTACATCTTTGGTAGCTTAGCATGAGACAATATGCGTCTCGCTGCTTCGTCCTGTTTTTTCTTACTGCAACTCAATTTTGCTGAGGCGTATGATGTACAGACATGTCATGGTAGATACCTGGAGCCTTCAGATATTGTTTAAAACTCACTTGAAATGTACTCCCCTCTATTATCTGATCTCAGTCTTGCAACTATGTGTCCACACTCATTGGACAATGAGTGTCCAGTGACACTCATTGGACACTCTGTCCATTGAGTGTCCATTGGACAATTGTCAGTGAAACAATATAGTACCGGAGTTTGGTAGCTTGTTATTAAATACAATTGATTGTAGAGTACTCACATTCAGCACTAATATGGAAAATACTCGTATCCCTGTTTCTCGATTTCTGCCCGAGTTTGTGAGTTAGCATCCGGAATTAGCATATATATCACTCTCCGTTCTATGTACAATAGTCCTCTGGTCCGTTCAGCTTGTCGATATTCATCTTGTCATTCATTGTGAATCCCGCAATTCTGTTTGTTTGACTCAAAAACGTTTCTAACAGAACTTTTTTAACGACGCACTGGGGACCTTAGGCCTTTCAACGTGTTTTTTCTATTCTCTTCAGAAAGGAATAGTACAACTGCAGTACTCAGAAGGCACAGCAGATGGCAGCATAACAGTCTTTCCATTAGCCACTGAACAAATTACTGCTTCACATCAACATATCAGTACATCTACTGATATACCCCAGAATAAACTAAGCTAGTATAATTGAGTGTCATAAAAAATGAAAGTTTTAAATCTAGCCCGAAAAGTAGACTAGTGGACTAAAACTGGGAGCTGGTTCCACAGCAGAGAAACCTGATAGCTAAAAGATCTGCCTCCCATGACCTTTTTGATTTTGATGTGTATTTACTTTTTGTGAGAAGTCTAACTGAAATTTTCTATAGAACCATTTGATGCAGAGTTGCTATGTTAACTTCTTTTTTGCAGTATTTATGAATGATAAATACTGCTGAATGATGACAAATGTTATTTTTCCCTTGTATGTATTAATAATGATGAACCAAAAGCATTCTACTCATTGTGTAATATAATCAGGAAAACAGCCCTGAACCCTAAACAAATGAAATCAGTTGTTAACACTGGATGAATATAATTAAAGTAATTCTGATTTTAGTGCTAATTGCTGTTCTAGTTTATTCATTAGTTATTCACAGCAAAAACATTGGAGTGCCATTGCTAATAATTGAGTTTAATTTGAAGCTATTTAATTTAGGCTATATACATGTAACAGACTTTTGGGGGAGATTAAACAGAGAACAATATATTTTATGACCTTTTTATTTAGTTTCAGCAGATGCATAAACACACTTAAAATGACTGCACACAAATGTTCTGCAATTTCTCTGCTTTACTTGGATTTTTTTTTGTTTGATCTGCTCAGTTTTTACCAAGTTTCATTCATTGATGCTTACCCACCAAACATTTGGCTACATAGAACTTTCCCCTGTCAACACAGCAAATGCTGCCACTGTGTGTTCCAAACCGGTTGCTGCCTGACACTCCTGTTCCTCTTGTCACTTTGTACCTGCACAGCTTCATTAATACACACTCAAATAAATTGAAGTTGCAAAATTTAGATTTTTTTTTTTCATTCCTTAGCTGTCAAACTCACAGCCCCACCCCTCAAATAAAACTTTACTATGACGTGTTTAGAATGTACGAATTCCGTCTCTAACTTGTTGATTTCATTAGGAAGCTAAATTTACAAGCATGTCTATTCAAAAGACTGGTATTGGCTCTTAACAGATGTGCTTCTGTGCTACCACTGTAAAACAATCTAACTTCAAAGTCTCTGCTTTAACCATTCATGTTTTTTTGTTTGTTTTGTTTTTTGTTTTTTTATGAAAGATTAATTACAATATTTCAGACAAACATCCATGATATGGATTCAGTGTCCTTCATGCTGCCATTAAAATGTGATTGAGATCTGTTAAAGCAGATGGTGGGGTGAAGAGATGACGGTATTTATCATCTTGCCTTTAAAATATTCTCCAGTGAATTTCTTAATAGCACATCAGATGGTTTTATGACAAAACTCTTAACTTTTAATCTCTGGGCCTGTGAGGTAGAGAAAATCTGAACAAAACTGCATTAACAACTCTATCACAACTCTTATCTCAACGTTGATAAGGACATCTTTACTAATCTTTCATCACTGCTACCACACTGTAAGCCGAAGCAATTAGGATAGATACTTGATGAGAATCTATCCTAATTGTCTGCCTTAATCATATAAATAAACATAAGACTGGAAAATAAATGTATTTTTGCATGTTATCTGGTTATTTTCTAAAGAGCCCTAGTAGAGGTGACAAAAAAGTATGTCTTTGACTTTCTGAGCAAGAAAACCTGAAAATCACATCTGCGATTATCTGCTGTTTAGTCTAAACCTTCTTTTATTTTAACTCTCCCTCAAGGTTATTGAAACAGATGCCTTTGATGGTGATGTCATTAGCCTACTCTTCTTTATGTAGAGATGCCTTGTGTGTTGTAACAGTTTTTTGTTTGTACTTTGTCCTTTTTTTCTTTGTGAAATCATATAACTTTGTATTTTCCTATCCAAGAAGTTTAAATTTGCTCAGATGATTTGCCTTTAGTGCACAAGTCTTTAAATGTATCTACTAAAGTCACTGAAAAAGACTTAATACTTAAATTCTAGCGGAAAATTTAGCGTTTTATTCTTTGTGCCTGTGTAAATTTTTTGTTTTGTTTTGGGGGTTTTTTTGTTGGAACTTTTTATAATCATTGTTGCATTTTCATGGGTCCTTCACCAGGACGTCTTTAATCTTATTTAGTACCAATTCGGCTAGGGGCTCAAAAGTTAGAAGTAGGGGGATTTTTTTTTGACAGGGGATAGACGATATATCATTTCCTGTAAAGCCTCGATGACCAGAACATTGTATCATTTAATTAAACCCTGACATGACGTGCTCGGAGGCAGGTAGCGAAAACAAAGAATTGGCTTGAAGGAGGACCATTACGCAGGTTGTCGTGACATCATTGAGGGCTGGCTATAAAGAGCCTAGGACTGATGCGCAAAATTAGAAGAGCAGTTCAGAAGCGTTGGGGTGAAGGACGCGTTCAATCCTGTTCAGTGGCTGACTGACTAAACCGACCTTCCATCTTCCTAAAGAAGAAGAAGAAGAAGAAGAAGAAGAAGAAGAAGAGGAGAGGAATCCCTGTAAGACTTGACAAAATGAACTTGTCCTACTTGGTTGCTTGTGGACTTTTGGTCAGCCTGCTTTCAGAAAAGATGGGAGCAAGACCTTTAACTCAAGCGCAACAGAAGGTAAGCCGGTTGTATCTCAAATGATGCTTGGTGTTGCATTTATGCATGAACAGTTGCTTTTTTTATTTGAGTCCAAAAAACAAACAAACAAACAAAAAAATGCGTCAGATATTAATTTAGTTCACGTTTGTCATTCTGGAAAAGCTTTGTTTTCTCTTTGTTAATAAGCTAAAACTTGCCCAAGCTTTTTGCGTTAAAGCAGTTTCTTTTTGTTGTACTAAAATAATATTTTATTCTGTAACATAATTTGTCAGCATTTTATTTAGAAGATAGCAATTTAAAGAGGTGTTAAATGGTATTTCACAATTTAGTCATCAGCAGGTACCGATGGTTCCTTTTACATTTATTCCCGACTTGAAAATGTATCTGTTGGAATCTGTTGTGTGCGTAAAATCAAATTATAATAGTGGCAAAGGACTACACTAACTAGATAAGTTATGCAGTCATATATCCGTTATTAACAAATAAATAAATAACCAGGGTGAAGTGGATACCAAAGTCCAGACTAAATACCGTTCATATGCACCTGCTTCCCAGTCTGGTAGTTTTATTAGAACGCAGTGTCACTTAAGAAAAATTAAAGTAGCACTTATATGCGACAGGGGAGATTTATAGACTAGCTGTGATTCAATTAACCTCTAATCTAATAACTGCAATATTCTCTTTTGGGGTGGAATTTGAAGCCGTTATTCCCGAAGGGTATAAAATGTTGAAATATTCCCTCTAATGCTCGCCGTTTATTTGAATATTATACTGTATTGAGGCTTACCTCAAATGGTGTAAAAATATGTAACCTCTGCCCGAACAAGCAGTATATATTCTTGTTGTTAAAGTTATAAGAGGTTTGGAAAAAAAAAAAAAAGAAGAAGAACATTTGCCGGAGGGATGCATTGCTCATCTATCTTGTTCATCTCACAGTCACTCCGAAGTTTGCTGGGTGAGGAACTAGCGGAGATCCTGGAGTCAGATGAGAGGGAGCGAAGGATAGATGCAGTGCGCTCTCGGATGAGGTTACTGCGAGATTTACGCATGGATACCCGGGCCAGAGGGATGTGGGCACGTCTCCTCAACGACCAGCCCGCAGCGAGGAGGCACAAGTCGGGAAACAAGAAGGCGGGCTCCACGTCACGGAGTGGTTGTTTCGGACACAAGATGGACAGGATAGGGACCATCAGCGGGATGGGCTGCTAGGGCTCGGAGCTGCGAAGAGACGGTGAGTTCATGGGGCATCCCTGCTTTTTACACTTAGACGGAACCGGAGTAACCTCCCAGATAGAAACAATGAGGAAAATCTGGAATAGTTTTGAATAAATGTCCAAATATACGACAAAAAGACAAGAAAACGATAACATGTTTAATGTTGAAATAGTGTTTTAGGACACTTCCATTAACTCAGAAAGTACACTGAGGAAAAACATAAGAAACTATTAGAAGTGTTCATACCTGGGAGAAAAAGTAAGTATGTTCTACAAGGTCAGACAATGTCCTATATATATATATATATATATATATATATATATATATATATATATATATATATATATATATATATATATATATATATATATGTCAGGATAATACATGATGTCTGAATTCACATGGTTCATAAGGCAGTATGTTCTGATCTTATGCAATAACAGAGTCTAGAACAAATGGGCATGATGATACTTGCATTTTGCAATGAATTCCAGTTTAATTCAGAAATTAGTTGCATGTCAGGAGTCACTCTCAAGTGTGTTATTGTGTCATAACTGTGTGATTAAATCCTTGTTATTAAACCACCTGGAACATAGGAAGATTTTAAGCCCCAAAGGAACCAAAAAAGATAATGTATCAAGTTATTAAAATAATACATTTTCAACCACTGCGATGCTTTCTTCGAGGACGCAAACTGTTTGCCGAAAAACTCCCTTAAACTAGAGTGACATATAGGGTGCAATCCTGTGGGTGCTTAGGAAGTCCACTCTCTTGTTTCTACTCATAATCGTGAACGATCCCATCTGTTTCATTTGGAAAAACAGCGGCATACATCATGTTTAGGAAGTGGAGACGACAAGGAGGGATGGAGGAAGGAAGTGGCGATGTGGACGAGCACGTACACATCCATGCACTGTCTTGAAAACGAAGCACCCTGCAGTGGTCAGATTCTTTCTGGGAAAGCCATTTTCTCCAAACCCAAGTGTTTTGACCAAAAGCAGGGAAGGGGCTGTGTTTGTGAATGAAGTAATGTGGAAGCTAAGGTGAC